CCAGCACAATGAACCATGATAACACACCGTATTTACTAAAATGAAAGAAGACTAGTGATATTAAATGTTGATGAAGCTGTAGGACAACTGGAATTGCTGGCAAGAATGTAAATTGACAGAATTTCATTGGAAACTGGCATTTTTTACTGAAGTTAAAAAATGTATAACATAATACCTAGCCAAAAAGTATATCTATAAAACATTCATAGAATTATTATTATTATCAGTCCTCACCAAGGATATTTTTTCTATCGATCTTCAGACAGCATGGAAGGGAGGGAGGAGAGAGAGAGAGAGAGAGAGAGAGAGAGAGAGAGGGAGGGGACCATCAACACTAGAGAGGTTGCTTCCTGCATGGTCCCCAACCGGGGCTGGGGATCAAATACACAACTAAGATATGTGCTTTTGACCCAGAATCGAATCGACTTTCATGTATGAGTCTGCCCTATGCTCTGTTTTGTTCCATTACGGCCTTTTGAAAGCAAATTGCTGTGCGTGTGGGAAGTTCTTACACGATGAGGGAGTTCTAGAGTTAAGTGGAATTAGTTTATTCAAGAAAATCTAGGAAGTGGTATTAGGTCATTTATCCTTAAACCAGAAGTTATATGTTATCAGTAAAAAGCCAAGTTTAGTAGTCAAAACCTCTAAATTTAAAACGTATAGAGGATTACCTCCAAGTTTTTTGATGATACATTCTTATCAGTAAATGATGCTTGAGCATATATTTATTTGTTATTAATTAATTATATGTAGTATCTACATATAGTATTTATACATATTACTACAATATGTTATTTCCATTATAAAATACACAAAATTAGAATTACAAAAGGAAATCATTAAAACAAAAATTAAAATTTTTATATTTTCTTACTGTACCCCTTTATCAGCCAAGGTGTGCTGGGTTATGTGTGCAAATAATCCTCAAATTTCGGTGGATGCAAACAGCACAATTTATTTCTCTCCTGTTATATGTTTGTTATGGTTTGGCTTCAGCACCCTTTGGCACTGCTCTCACTCTAGTGTCTACCAGGCGTCTTCAAACTACGGCCCGCGGACCACATGCGGCCCGCAGAGGAGTCTGATCCGGCCCGCCAGGTTTTTTGGGCAGTGAGCGCAGCCGAGGTGTTACAGTAGGAATTAGTAGTTCATATAGTCCGGCCCTCCAGCTCTCTGAGGGACCGTGATCTGGCCCCCACTTTAAAAAGTTTGAAGACGCCTGGTAGACTGAGGGAATAGCCACTTTTGGGAGCGTGCTGGTCACGGGGACAGAGGGAAGGGAAGGGGAATGAGCACCAAAGCCTCTGCCAGGATGCACATGTCACTCCCCACATTTCATTTTCCAGCAATGACATGTCCTCACCCAATTGCAAAGAAGAAAAATCCTGACCCTGTGCCCAGGAGGAAGCGAGTATTTTAGGCATCACCCAAAACTATCACCTCTGAATAGACATTTCAGAGACTATGGCCCTGGCTTAGTGTTTGCCTAACAGTGTTTCCCAACCTTCTCTCATGACGAGAATCTCCTGGTGGAGTTGTTAAAATACAGATTCCTGAATCCCAACTGAGAAGTGCTAAACTAGAATTTTTGGGAACACATAGGTAAAATTGTATACTTAGTGTTCCAAGACAGAGTATGCAATTTTACCTATATGTAAAACATATAGGTAAAATTGTATACTTAACTTAGTGCTCTAAAAGTACACAATTTTACCTGTATGTTCCCAAAAGTTCTAGTTTAGCATTTCTCAGTTGGGATTCAGGAATCTGTATTTTAACAACTCCACCAGGTGATTCTCACCATGAGAGAAGTTTGGGAAACACTGGCCTAAGAAAATAAACACACAAAAACAAGTCCTTTTAGTTTTTCCATTCCATGTTGTTTTTAAAACCCAGCAATCCTAAGAAATGAGTCTATTACAACTACAGGCTTGTGGTCCCTCTTGCTAAAAACTCCTTAGTAGCTTCACTGTGCACTCATGCAACCCAGACACAACGTGGTCTGCAGTCCTTACATCTCTCAAGCCTCCTCTCCTGCTGCTCACACCACCCCTCACCCCTACTGACCCTTCGGTTCCCTGAAGGAGACGTGCGCTCCTACTTCTGCCCTGAGTGCTTTCCTACCTTTCTCCTTGCTTTTACCTGCTTGTTCTTTAGTTTTTAGGTCAAATATTTCCTCCAGGAAGCCCCTCGTGACTCCCGGGGTAGATGGAGCCTTCTCTTTTCTATGGTCTCATAATACTCTGTTGCTTTGCTTCCAGAAAAGCTGTCCCAGAGTTTTTGTGTGCGAGCATGTGCTGTTTTTTCATCTTTACCCGAGGATATGTGGTGCCATTTTTTGTTTTGTTTTGTTTTGTTTTTAGAACGAGTAAGGGAGAGAGAAACCTCAGTGTGAGAGAGAAGCATATATTGGTTACCTCCCATTATGCATCTGCCTGGGAATCAAACCCTCACCCTATTTGGTGCATGGGACAATGCTCCAACCAACTGAGCCACCCGGCCAGATCTGTTCCAGCTTTTAAAGTCTGTTTCTCCAGTTAGTGTGCAAGCTTCAAGGGAGCAAAGCTCAAGTCTGTTTTGCTCACCACTGTATGCTGCTGCTTCTGTTTATCCCCATTACTGGCGTGTAATAGAACTCATTAAATATTAAGTTCGGTTATAGTTTTATGTTTGTGACATTTATGTGGTCTTGAGAAGAACGTGTTCTCTGGTCCTTAGAGAACAATTTGATACTAAGAAGTTAATCACACAAACTGCAAATACACTGTTGCTCCATGCCTCTGTGTCTTGGGACATCTGAGAGAATGCAGAGTAGGAATGCTTTTCCCATTCTCTCTGATTAGAGTAACCCTCACTTGGATTTTCACATTATTTAAGTGATTTTTCTCTTCCCGTTTTTTGAGTGATATTTTCATGTTTAACTTGGAAGCCCTACAGTCTGAGGGGATATATCACATTTAACATAAATGGCAGTGAGGTTATTATATAGACGTACTGAATAAATAAATAAGTTGTGTGATACTAAGGTGTGTGGGAAGGGTTTGTTTTTGTTTTTATTTTTTGCTTTTTTGTTTTTTGGTGTGTTCTTTTAGCTTCTGGAGATGATACTGAATTATCAAAACATGTTGTGGTTTATTTTCGTGATACTTTGCATCAGCAAAAGAACATCTGTTAGATGCTTGGAAAATGCTTACCTACATATTTATGTCCCTCACTATTTGTCTTCATTTACATGTGTTGTGGGGAAACTTTAGTATTTTCTGTTTCTCTTTTCAGAAAGAATAACAAATTTGATCAACTTACTTGTCTCTATGTCTCATTGTGGACTATAGGTTCTGTTAGTCATTTAAAATGCAAATGTTCTAATAGAGATATCTCCTGTGATGATCATCTTACAGGTGGAATAGATAGGATAATACAGATATGGTAATCTATAAGCCTCTCATAGTTGTGTTCCCCATTTTATTCTAGAAGAGAATCTTTTCTTCTCATCAGTGTGAACTGATGGGAAGCAAAGGAAGATGAGTAAGGATTATATTTTCAGGGCCTATCTGTTTAAGAAATATTTATTAGATACCTATTTTGTGCCAGAAGCTGGGAAAACTAAGAAAGAGATGTAAAATGTAAAAACTTTCTATAAGGTTTTACATTTTTATTTCAAATGATAATCCTATATAATAAAAGGGCAATATTCAAATAGACCAAAAGACAGAACAACCAATCAATCAATCAAAGCATAATATGCTAATGATAAGCTAAGGCTCATCATCTGTTCGCTATGATGTGCACTGACTACCATGGGGCAGATGTCCAAATGGTAGGTTAGTTTGCTGCTGGGGCCTGGCCAATCGGGATTGAGCGAGATGGGCCAGACACACCCTGAAGCTCCCGTGGTCCCTCCTCAGCCCATTCATGGACCAGTGTGGTCCCTCAGCCTGACCTGCATCCTCTCGCAATCTGGGACCCTTCAGGGATGTCAGAGAGCTGGTTTCAGCCCCATCTTGCAGGCCACTCCCCTTGGGAGGCCGCCAGATTCAGGGCTCATGGCTGGCGAGTGCTGCTGCTGCAGCAGCACAAGCATCTCCCAATTGGGACTGATTGGGTGCAAGCCCGAAGCAGGCACAGTGGGGCCAGGATGAGCAGGAGTGGTTGGTAGGAGCTATAGGCAGCATTGGACTGTGGGTTTTGGCCCGATCCCACGCCACTCAGAGGGACCTCACCCGTGCACAAATTCGTGCACCGGGCCTCTAGTATTCTACTGAGAGCTGAGTTTCACTCTTGCTAGCCGTGCCAATTTTATTGCTCGTAGAATGCAGATGATAAAGTTCTTCTGAGGAGTAAATAAGATAGTGCATTTAAAACACTTATATGTTGATTTTTATTTACCATGAGGCTTTGTCCACAGTTAGCCTCTTAATTACTTATTTTTTCTATATTGCCATCAGAAACACGGATCTGATTGCATAACACTACCTCTTCAATACTGTCTTCTCAACTTTAAAAAACCTTTTGTCGTTTTCTGTTGTCTCAAGAAGAAAGCCTCAGACACATGGAAGGCATTTACCATCCAACCCTGCCCTTTCCTACCAAAGTAGCTCCTGCCTTCGCCCCCACCAGGCTGCAGCCCACAGCGGCTGCACCTGTTGTATTCCAAAGGCTTGTGCTCTTCCTACTGCCTGCAATTCCTGCTACAGCCTTAACTCCATTCTCACCCTCACCCAGAACAAACAGTTCTCTACGGGCAACTCTGAGATCTTATTCTCCTCAGGTATAAATCTTTGATCCCTGTCATTTATATGTCTTTAGCATTTATCACATTATTAAAAAGTAATTAAAGTGTTTTACTCTCCCACTAGCTTGTGAGTTCCTTGAGAGGAAAGACCTTAATTCATTCATCATTGTATCACTAAAACCAGTAGGCATGCAGTAAAAATATTGAAATAATGAATTGAGATTTGGTTTAATTTTGTTTTGATTTCAATGTATTCTTATTATTCTAGGTTCTTGGCCTTGTTCAAAATATGAGTGTTTTCCAGTGCCCAAAATGTAAACACAAGACTCATATTTTTGGTGCTGATGGTGCAAGGAAACTAGCACAGATCCTTGGTCTTGATATTCTAGGTAAGATCATAGAATATATTTTTTTTAAATATATGTTTTGTGATCTCAGAGAGGAAGGAAGAGGAAGAGACAATAGAAACATCAATTATGAGAGAGAATCATTGATAGACTGCCTCCTGCACACCCCACACTGTGGATCAAGCTCACAACTTGGGCATGTGCCCTGACTGGGAATGGAACCGTGATCTCCTGGTTCATAGGTCAATGCTCAACCACTGAGCCATGTTGGCTGGGCATAGAATATTCTTTTGCAGAGGAAATGGTAGAAGGGAAAACAGAGATCAGGTATGGTGATGAAAAGTGTCTCAGAAAGTAATGAATTGCTTTTGGCTTTGTGTTTTAAATTAACTTGGTTTAGCGCAGTTCTATGTGCTATGCTTTCTTTGGCTTTTTATAATACTTCATTTGTGGAAGGCTTTTTAAAAGGAAGTTTGTTCTGCCAATTTTGATGCTTTCTGCTATTGATAAAAACTGCTTATAACTTGAATTTTAGAAGAGAGTTTTGTGGTCTGAGTACTATGAAGCCCATGTTTTAGTGGTCATTAGTTTTGCTGCATTGGGAACACATCTCTTTTTACTGGTATGTATGAAAATACCTGTTCATTATATTGCAGGAAACTTTGGAAGTGTCACTTCTTGGTGCATATGAAAAAATAAAATGCCTTTCTGATCAGTTCTGAATGTATCAGTCCTTCTGCTCTAGAAAGACAATATTTTGTTTTCTGGAATCAAAACAAAATATGTGTTTGCTATGTCTATAAGAGGTGGCACTTGAAATTTACATTATATATACTGTTCATGTTATTGAATTGAAGGGTTAATTAGTGTTATGAGAAGTGAAATCATGTGTTAATTGAATAAAACACAGATTTTTGATAAAACATGACTTTTAAAAGATCCACAAGCAACCTAATGAACTTATGAGAAAACATGTTTTGATATTCTGCTTATTGAATGAGTTATTGTTCTGGGGAAGGCAGATGTTAGATGCTGAGTAAGAGAGTCATAGAGTGGGTTATTAGTTATAGGTAGTTTACAATTAAGACCCCTTTAGAGATCAAGGAATTTCAAAACATGCTCTATTATAATTACGTTTCTAAAAGTTGATGTTAAATGTGTTATTGTTATTATGCATTTGTACCAGAGCAGCCATCACAATTCTAGGTGAATACTAGCGATATATTTTGATACATTGTTACAATTATAGTCACTAATGATATTCTGTAACTGTTTTCATTCACCCAACCTAAAAAGCTGTTTCTTAAATCTGCATGATAACATAACAGATTGACATTCATTTAATAAAGTAAATGTGTAATTATAATGGCATTATTAAATTATGTTGACAATATTATAATTCCCTAATTTATAAATGGGTGGTACCATTTTGTAAGTAAGTGATTTAGACTTTGAAACAGTCTCCTAAAGAAAGTCTTACATATGGAAATTATTTCTTAACCAACAGCTCAGAAATGTATAGTTACACTAAAAAAAATCAGCAACACTGATTACTGATCTCAAAACTGGATAATGCCAGAGACTGCTGTCTCTAACAGTGTATGGGAAATGATTTAGAACTCCAGTTCAGAGCCATCTCCTCCTTTCAGCGCAGTCCTGGGGGCCCAGAGGTAGGGCCCGTGAACTTGAGCAGGGGCTCCAATAATGAAAAGGTTAGAATTGAAAATTAGAAACTGAAGTAAAACAAAGAGCTCTCACAATTATGGCCTCGACTGGTTGAAGCCCCCAGGCACCCTCACTTGTCTCTTACTGACTCTCCGGCTACCTCAGGTCGTTTCATCCAGTGAGCTGTGTTTTAAATTTGTTAAAATAGCTTTTCGCAACTTTATCCATACTTACCTTCTACAGGGACAGTTTACGCATGATAGTTAAGATCTCAGGTTACCTCACAGAAACACCTTTAATGTGTATCTCTGAAATATGCCCTCCTTTCCTTCAGACCTAGCCATTCTCCACACCTTTACTCCTTTTTATCCTTCTCTGTATACAGCTGTAGTCCCTTACCACTCTCAATATGCCGCCTATTTTCTAACAAGGTTTCCCTCTTTTTTGGTCTATGTTTCTGTATCTGTGGGAGGATAGAGAATCTATGGAAGGCAAAAATTATGCAGTAGGTGGTTGTATAAAAGAGAAGGTTTTACTTTTATTTTTCCCAGTACTATAATAGCAGTTCATAAATCAAGAGGAAAAAACCTTTATGAGTTTCTAAGTATTTTCTATAACATATATTCCCCTGCCTGTTCTTGTGACAACTTCCTATAGTCTTAGTTGATCTGTAGAACAGACATAAATTTACTAAAAAGGTAATCTTTAAATGGTTACCTAAATATTCATATATTTTTGTCGTTTGTCTATTGAACATTTAGAAAGATTTAAAGAGCTGGTTAAGATTTCAAAATGTGCTGATAAGAGGAGCATACTTCATAATATAAATTGTAGTAGGTTTGAAATGTTGTATCATATAATCTGCATTATTTATATTGCCTGGCATGGTCCTGAATGACTTATTTATATAAAACACATGTATACACACATTCCAATGATCTTCCCATGGATTTGGAGTGGTTCTAGGAATGCTGAGTGCTCTGACGAGTCAACTCTTCTACTTATGCCTCCATTTGCTGCCTTTGGGAAGCCATCGATAGTGATGGGGCAGTGGAGAGGGTCAGCTGGATGGTGAATCCCAGCATTTCCCCATTACACTACCTAATGGTAATTTATCGTCAGCAAAGACACATCCTTCCATACCTCAAGTCTGCATATTGGAGATTCTCATTGTATCGATATACGTCCTGAGGTCTCATCAAGCTCACAAGTTTTAACACTAAAAGATTAATCTATACTAATAAAAGCCTAGTAATCCTTGCACCCTCCCGCAATACCCTCACATCATCACAAGATGCCCACCATCACGTCACAAGATGGCCATAATAAGATGGCTGGCAGGGGAGGGCAGTTGGGGGCAACCAGGCCTGCAGGGGAGGACAGTTGGGGGCAATTGGGCTGGCAGGGGAGGGCAGTTGGGGGCGATTGGGCTGGCATAGGAGAGCAGCTAGGGGCAATCAGGCAGTCAGGAGAGCAGTTAGGAGCCAGCAGTCCCAGATTGTGAGAGGGATGTCCCCCAAGGTGTCCCCCAGATTGTAAAGGGTGCAGCCTGGGCTGAGAGACATCCCCCCTGTGCACAAATTTCATGCACTGGGCCTCTAGTCCTATCTAATAAAGAGGGAATATTCTAATTGACCCTCACATCATCGCAAAGATGGCAGAGCCCACAGCCAATAAGGAAGGGACATGCTAACTGACTGCCCGCCCTCAAAGATGGTGGTTTCCACAGCCACAAGATGGTGGCACCCAGTCCTCTCAGCCCCCCAGCCTCCCAGGGCCTGCCCAAGGTGCAGGGAAGCCTCAGATGGCAGATGCCCAGTTGCCCAGGGCCAACCTGAGGTACAGGCAAACCTCAGATGGCAGCTGCCCAGTCACCCAGGGCCACCCAAGGCTCAGGTAACCAGGCTTGGCCAAGGCTTGCACTGCTGGCCATGGCAACAGCAGAGGTGTGAGGGAGGCGTCACCTTCCCCTGATTGCCGGGTTGCCTTCCACCCTTATGGGCTCCCGGACTGTGAGAGGGGGCAGGCCAGGCTGAGGGACCCCACCCCCATCCAGTGCATGAATTTTCATGCACCAGGCCTCTAGTATATAATAAAAGTAATTCTATCTGATAAGAGGCAGGGAGTTGAGAAAACAGGTCTGGCTTACTCTTCAATAGTTCTCTTAGCTTACTCATCTGCCAGCACCAGGAAGATTATATTGTACTTTTATTTTATTTTATTTTATTTTATTTTATTTTTATTTTTATTTAATTTTTGGACTACTTTACCCACCCAATCTTTTCCTCTTCAGTTTCCTCTTATTAATTGGTATGATGTGTCTATGCCAGGTATTACAGGTAAAAATAATTTACAGATGTCTTCCAAACCATTTGCTGGAAGATCTCCAACAAAGAATAAACCAAGGCCCCTTGAGGGGTGGCCACATAGTGTGTGTGTGTGTGTGTGTGTGTGTGTGTGTGTTTGTGTGTATAGTAACTATACTACCCTCAAGTGGAATATTTTGTCCTAATTTTCATTTGAAATTCCTTGATCAAAGATTTAGCAATTTTTAGGATAATCATAACTCAAGTTTATATGAATCAATTTAGTTTAGATGTTGTTTCTGAAGTTCAAATAGTGAAATTCTAAATGCCGACATAAACTTCTGTAGTACTAATGGATATCTGGTGACTCTTTTAGGAGACATTCCTTTACATCTTAATATAAGGGAAGCTTCAGATACAGGCCAGCCAATTGTATTCTCCCAGCCTGAAAGTGATGAGGTAAGTGACATTTAAAAAAAATGTATTTTCAAAAAACATTTTCATTTCTCTTTAGAGATACGTACTTTTTGATATATGGAAAGAAGGCTGGGAAGATCAAGTTTATCTATTTGCAATGCATATATTAAACAAAAATTGGTAACTTATCCACAGCACTGTAAGTTACTATTTTGTGTGGTAGGCATACCAGTGTTGGCCCTGAATTTCACCTGACCAAGTTCCCTACAAAGAGTCATCACCGACCAGTTATCTCATGAAGAACATCCACAGCAAGAGTTTGCAGAGTTCATATCTTGCTGGCTATTGTATCCAGTTATCTGAAGTTGAGCTGGTTGTTGGGAGAAGGAAACATAGTATAAAAACATTGAGTTGGATATAGAGAAAATGTATAAACCATTAGAGATGGAGTTTTCATTGCATTTATTTTAATAAATATGATTGGGAAAGTGAGGTGGAAAAACCAATAGTGTTTAATTAGGAATACCATTGATAAATTTTCAGCTGAAGCTTTATAATTTTAAGCCTAAAATATTTTTATTTTATTCTTTTTAAAAAATAGAAAATAAATCAATCATATATATCTCTTTTTCCTAAGTAGTACTTGCTATTAAATTAGAAACTGAGTCATCATCTAGTTAACAGGGGTGTCTAACTCAATCAGAGAAGGGGCCAAAATCTAAAATCCAGCCTAAATCGCGGGCCGAATGGTTTACTGAACAGTCATAAACTGACAATGTTAACCAGAAATGTGAATTTAAAATGAGTGGAACAATCTTTTCCTTAACAGTGCTGTTAACCAACTCACATGCTATCAAGCAAAACAGTATTGGTATCAAGCAAAACAGTAATATTGGAATGTACCTAAAATGCTCATTGTTTTGTTTTCTGGCTAGATGTCTGACACCGTTTTCCCCGGATCAATGAGTCAATGTTCGGTTTTATTTCTTGGGCTGTAGCAACCCGCAAAACAGCATGGAGGTTGTCATCGGTAATGCGTGATCTGTGCTTGTTTTTGTTCAGATTCATTATTGAAAACATCTGTTCACAAAGATAGGTGCTCCCGAACATGGATAGAATACGGGCAGCATGAAGTCGGAGCTCTGGCATTGAGTCAGGGGGCAGTAGAGGGTAGAAGTCCTCAATTTCAACATCCTGAAACCTTGATTTCAGGCCACTGTCAGACTGAAGCTCGATTATCTCCATCTGAAGGTGATGGGGCACATTGTTGACATCAACTGTAAAAGGATTGGCAAAGATGTCAAAGCCTGAGTGCTGTGTTCTAAAGTCAGAGAAGCGCCGCTCAAATTCACTTAGTAAATGGCTAACTTTGGTAGTCAGCCCACTGCAAGGAAAAGTACCAGAAATAGTGGTTGAGATACTCAAACAAACGGGAAAGTGGGCAAGATTGTCCTGTTCCAGTTGGGACTTCCATAGTTGAAGTTTACGCTGGAATGCTGTGATCATGTCAGACATCTTCGTGATGACTTGTTTGCGTCCCTGCAGCTTCAGATTCAGTTGGGCGAGATGCTCGCATATGTCACACATCATAGCAAAATCACATAGCCAGGCGGGATCCGACAGTTCAGGCAAGGGCTTTCCTTTACTTTCCATGAAAAGAGCAATTTGTTCTCTGAGCTCAAAAAATCTTTTGAGGACTGCGCTCTTGCTCAGCCATCTTACTTCTGTGTGGTATGGCACGTCTCCATGCTCTGCACCCACCTCCTGTAAAAACTGCTGGAACTGGCGATGATTCAGGCCACGTGCCCGTATAAAGTTAATAGTTTTAATGACTGTGGTCATTATGTCATTCATGTCCAGAACTTTTCCACACATGGCCTCTTGGTGGATAATGCAATGATAAGTAATCAAGGGTGTGTGGCAGTGACTTTTTTGCATTCTTTCCTTCATTAGTCCAACCAAGCCTTTCTTTTCTCCGCACATTGAAGGCGCACCATCGGTAGTTAGCCCCACCAACTTTTCCCAGGGTAATTTAAAATTATTTATAGATTTCTCCACAGCCTCAAATATATCTCTACCAGTTGTCGTCCCATGCATGGCAGCTACATCCAAAAGTTCCTCAGTGACAGAGAGGTTGGTCTTCGTAGCATGTATAAAGATGGACAGCTGCGCTGTATCAGTGTTGTCTGTGCTTTCATCGATAGCAAGTGAAAAAGCGAGATAATTGTATGCCTGTTCGGCCAGCTGTGATGATAGATTTCCTGAGAGTTCTCGAACTCTATCTGCAATGGTGTTTCTTCACAAACTGACATTTTGAAAACTCTGTATCTGGTCTGGGCATACTTGCTCACACACTTTTAGCATGCATTGCTTCAAAAAGGCACCCTCTGAAATACACCTTGAAGTACGGGCAATTTCTTCAGCCACTATAAAGCTTGCTTTCACTACAGCATCATTTTTCGCTGTAGCCTTTGTAAACATTTGCTGCTGTGATTGTAGTTTGCCTTTTAGTTCTTTAACAATTTTATGCTTTTCTTCCAAAGTATATTTGCCATACTTGACATTATGTTTGGTGTCAAAATGACGACGTATATTGTACTCTTTCATCACCGACACTGTCTCATAACACAATATACACACTGGTTTGCCCTCTCTAAGCACAAACATGTATTCATTTTCCCATTTGTCATTAAATTGTCTGCCTTCACCATCAACTTTTCTTTTCCTGGACATTTTGGGATCAATATTGGCAGTAAAAGATGTAGTTTATTGGAAATCTGCGTTAGAAGGAAAAAGTTGAAAACTGCACAGGGATAGCTTGATTTGGCAGATGGAGTGGAGAAAAAAAAAGTCAGTCAATAAATGTCTGGCAGGGTACAGATAGCAGATTCTGTTGCGATTTTTATGCCTGCACTTTATGCCAGGAACTGGCAGCTTCTGCTGTGTATTTTTTATGCCCGCACACTCACTCTCTCCTCTGCTCTGCCACCCGCACAACCACATCGGATGCCGGACTATAGGTCACGCCTCCTGAATCTCGCGTGACTTGTTATCTATGCGCATGCGTAATAGATAGCAAGTGAGGCGGCCGGCGAGATCACAAACCTCCTATATCACCGAGCGTCATTGTGATGGAACGCAGCGGAGTGCAGTGATGACAGCGCGGTGCGGGCCACATTGCAAGGCCTGGCGGGCCGGATTTGGCCCGCGGGCCTTGTGTTTGACATGTGTGATCTAGTACATCAGTTTTGATACAGTTTTTGTGCTTATTTGCTGAATAGTCCCATTCTTCCAATAGTTTCTTTCTTATTTATATTTTTTTTAGCTAACATTATAACCTTACAGTACTGTTATTTTGCTTTTGCTCTTTTTAATAATTGTAATTGACCTACACTATTATATTAGTTTCAAGTGTATAGCATAGTGATTCAACATCTCTATGCCATGTGAAGTGATTGCCACATCGATGCCTGTAACTTTCAGTCACCATGCAAAATTTTTCAATATTATTGACTGTATTCCCTATGCTATACATTACATCCTGTGACTTATTTATTTTATAACTGGAAATTTGTACTTCCTAACCGTCTTCACCTTTTTGTTCATCTCCCCACTCATCTCCCCTCTGACATTTATCAGTTTGTTCCCTGCATCTCTGAGTCTGTTTCTGTTTTGTTTTGCTTCATTGATGTTTTAGCCTTCAGATTTCACATGTAAGTGAAATCATATGGTATTTGTCTTTCTCTGTCTGACTTATTTCACTCAGCTAATACACTCTAGGTCCATTCATGTTTTCATAAATGGCAATATTTTTTATGGCTGAATAATAATATTCATGTGTGTGTGTGTGTGTGTGTGTGTGTGTGTGTGTATGTGTGTGTGGTGTCTAAATAAAATGTATACACAGTTTGAATAATTATTAATACCAATGTGTTAAATATAAAAAGAAAGAAATATCAAGTGAGCTATCAGGAAAAAAGTGTGTATGCATTTTTGGGAATACCCTGTATATACCACATTTTCTTTATCCATTCATCAGTCAGTGGATACCTAGGTTACTTCCATTATCTTAGCTATTGTGAGTAATACTGTAATGAACATAAAGAATATATATATAATTTCAAATTAGCGTTTTCAGTTTCTTCAAGTAAATGCCCAGAAGTGGAATTGCTGGTTTCTAATAGTAGTTCAATTTTAATATTTTGAGGAATCTTCATTCTCTTTTTCATAGTGCCTACACCAATTTACAACTCCACTAACAATGTATGAGGGTTCCCTTTTCTCTACATCCTAACCAACACTTGTTATTTGTTGTCTTTTTATAATAGACATTTTGACAGGAAGTGGGAGGTAATATCTCAGTATGGTTTTGATACCTCCCTGATATTAGTGATGTTAAACAATTTTTCATATATCTATTAGCTATCTGTATGTCTTTTTTGGAGAAATGTCTATTAGGTTTTCTGCCTATTTTTAAATTGGATTATTATTTTTTTTATGTTGAGTTGAGTGAGTCTTTATGTATTTTGGATATTAACCCCTTATCAGATATATTATTTATAAATATCTCTAATTCGGAAGGTTTCACTTTGTTGATGGTTTCCTTTGCTGTGCAAAAGCTTTTTTAGCTTGATGTAGTTCTGTTTGTTTCTTTTTGCTTTATTGCTCTTGCCTGAAGAGACATATCCAAAAAATATTGCTAAGGCCTTTGTCACAAAGTTTACTGCCTATGTTTTCTTCTAGGAGTTTTATAGTTTCAGGTCTTACATTTAAGTCTTTAGGCCATCTGAGCTTATTTTTGTATATGGTATAAAAAAGTGGAAGAGTTTCTCTTTTTGTATGTATCTATTTTTGAATCACCATTTATTGAAGTGGTTATCTTTTCCCCCATTGTATATGTTTGCCTCCTCTGCCATAGATTAACTGACTATATAAGTGTGGGTTTATTTTTGGTCTCTGTATTTTGTTTTATTTATCTACTAGAGGCTCAATGCATGAAGTTTGTGCAGGAGTAGGCCTTCCTTCCCCCGGCTCCTGGCACT